TTTCCGGTTTTCCAGGACCGATTCTATCCATCACTATTATTTGCCATATCTGTGCGCGGCGCTCTCTCTCTCGAAGATCTTGATTGTTTAGCAAAGGAGATAACTAGCTTCAGAAGCGGCGATACAAGCGCCAAATGATTTCGCATGGTGCAACGTCTGAGTGCCGTCAAAACCTTGGAACTTTGAAGAATTCCCACGTTGTTTAGCCGGGAAATTTGACTTTGTCGATGCCTAGGGTGATAATAAATGCGGGGAAGCTAAACTTGAATAGGCACATCTAGTACGGGAAATAGAGCAGAGTTGAGGCAGCGAAGAAGGGTAGAATGGAAAATAAAATCCTTTTTCATTTCAGGAAAGCAGCAAGAGATTTAGTGTTAAGAGGGAATTGAATTAAGAAATTAAGAACAAGCAAGCTGGTTAATGGGGGAAAACAGTTCAATCAAGTCATTTGCATTTTGCTTAACGCTCAAATCTTCCATCCAGGAGAAGAACAAGAAAAAAGGTAAGAAACATTTTTAAGTATCACAACAATCAATGCTCTTAATGAGGAGCGAGAAAGGAGAGAGGAGAGAGAGAGAGAGAGAGAGAGAGATAGAAAAACGACAGGAAGGAGGATAAGAGAGAGAAAGAAAACACGCCACGATGATTTCAAAACACACTACCAAAAAAAAGAAAAAAAGAAAAGAAAAAAAAGAAAAGAAAAGAAAAAAAGTCTGCTCTAACATCCGTACACGATTGGCCTTGGGATAACCGGAGAGCGAAAGGACGTGGTGTGATGTATCGAAATGATAGCCACCAGTCCTACCTGGGTACATGTGTATGTATACATTAAACATTACTCGCTATGTCACATAGGAACACACATATATTTGCCCTTCCAGCCATTTCCGTGTTTTTTGCCCGTAGTACATATATACACACATCAAACACTAAAACAGATAGGAAAGAAAGACTCCTTTTACTCATGTGCACCGTATCAGGCGTCAAAAAAAAATATTTGTTCTTTTCTTTTCTCTTCTCTCATAGCCGTAGCTGTCATGAAGGTGGTTCAATTCATTTTCAATAGACAGAAAATCTTTTGAACGAGAGTGATGAAAAACGGAGGAAAGGAAGGGATGAGGGAGAAAGAAGAAGGAAGAAAAGGGAGGATAATGGAGCAAAAACTAGAAACATAAAAGTGTATCCCATGACAAGTCCGTGTAAAGCAGAAATCCGGTATACCCATACAAGAATGAAAAACAGAAGCAAAAGAAGAAACAAAAACAAAATACCCTAAAAGAAACAAGGAGAGGAAAAGAGATGATATTTAGGAAGGGTATTAATCTGTTAATCAGAGACACAGAGAAACACTGGGCAAACTGAAGAAACTGCATATATCTGTCAAAAAACAATACTTCCTGGGGTATTTTCCTCGTTTATCGCATTTGTATTGTTGAATCGCCTCAACCGACGTAAAATCGCTTTCATACAACGGTCATCAGTGTCATACGTTCACAGCCATCATTTTCATTCGGAGCAGTGCCAGAAGCATTGCCCCGATGTCCATTGGCACCTTTGGACAGGGCCAGATCCGGAAGAAAAGAAGCCTCAGTGCCACTTAATGGGCGTGTAAACATGTGGCTAAACGGAGGATCCTGGGGACCAAAGTCGGTTTCGGAACCCGAGCAGACTCCCTCCGCCTTTCGGACGACATCCTTAAGTGCCCTCGTAACTACTCCAGCTCGAACAACAAGGTCACGCAGTGACTGGGTATCGAATGGTAGCTTTTGGTGCGGGTTTGCACTGGCTTCAAGGTACGCGGGGTCCTGGAGACCGCGCTGTTGGTAAATCGTGTCGAGGACGAATTTCGCTTTCACGGACGAGTCCGTCCTTGGATGGAGTTGAGGGGCTAGGGCAGGTGTTGAGTTTATTCTCTCCGAAAGAGGCGAGGGGCGAGTATTATTGTTGCCGTCGTCGTTGTCGTGGCTGTTTGTGTGTCCGCTGGAAAAGAAATCATCGTCCGAATCTTTATTACTAAAATTTGGAGACACTGGCGCTGAATGTTGAGTGTCAAAGTCTCCTTCATCTTCTTCGTCATCTTCCAAAGTCGCAAGGTTGATGATACCCTTAGCTTCCTTCCACAGCTCACTGGAGGGGCCATCGAGTATGCGCAACGCGCGGGCACTGATGCGGAGTCGTTTTAGTTCCTCCACTAGTAATGTTAATTCTTGAACATGCCCAAACTGCCCATGAACACTAGCTTGACGCTCCATGATGGCCTTGGGTACCTTCATGCATTGATTGGGCAACATTAGGTTTAGATCAGCATCGTTCCCTTTCGACTCATCTTGTTTATCTGAATCGTCAAACTCAAAGTCACCATCCCAATCCTCGCTGACACCCTTATTCCCCAAACCCCAAGTACCGAATTTTGGACTCGTGTGTTGGGCTTTGTTGGAGAGTGAAGGCTCGCGGGAAATGGGAACGCTTTGGCTTCTAAGGTGAACGGCGCTGCCAACGCGACGCATCACAGTGCGGCCTCCGCGAGTGTCAGGAACATGCTTGCTGAAAACAGCCGTTTTGGGCCTAGACTCCGAGCCCTGAACGTCCTTGTCATTGGATTGTTTCTCTGCCCAGTCGAAAAGTGAGATTCGTGCCTCTCTACCGGAAGTTTCGCCAAGGGCTATGGATGAATGAGGTCGATTTATGTTTGACCGGAGCACCGATAAACATTGGCTGGCGTGGGGCCTAGGGCAAGGCTCATTGAAGGAAAACAACTGGCAGTCCCCGTCCTCCATAGGTTCTATATCATCTAAGCTATTCCATTCAATAACACTGTCATTTAAATTTCCGGAATCTGTTACAGCTGGCGTTAATGATTCAAGCTGTTGTTTCGATTCGTGATCGGGGTCGGAGGGTAAGATGTGAAGTCGAGTAGCAGATGACGATAGGTCATTTTCATGGATAACGAAAGCATCATCATCATCATCATCATCATCACCGGTTATACTTAACTGTTCAGAAGCCACTTCGGACGTTGCGTTATCAAGGACCTTGAGCTTTTGGTCAGCAAGGTCCAACTGAGATGGATGATCAAATATCGTTTCGATGCGTGGGCCACGCTGAGTCGGCGGGCCACCCAGTCCCACCCGGGTAGGGAACGAGTCAAAGGCTGTATCGCTTTGGAAGTCAGTTTCATATTCATCCCCTGAACTAAATATTCTCGTGTCATTATCTGAGCCGACCAAAGTTGAGGCAGGGCCGGAAGTTGCCGCAGAAAACCTTTGGGTTTTGGGATGGCCGGAAGAGGGAAAGAATATGTTGCCGGAAGGGATAGATGACTGGCCGCCAGAAGATGACCTAGATCCGGGCTCTAGAGCTAAATCGCAGCAGATGGGTTCGGAAGAAAGCGCAGCACGAAGTTCTGAATATCGCGGGAGGCGGCGGAGGCGAGATTTGGGGGAGTTGTTTTCTGAGTTTATGGTATCAAGCTGATGGTAATTATAGTCTGCTTGAGAAGCAGATGATAGAAGTCTAAAAGCATCTGTACTTGCGATGGTCCTTCTTTTTCGAAGACGTATCGAGGTTGTATTCAACTCTTCAAGTTTAGCTACTAGACCATTTGAAGGGCAAGGCGGTTCCGTGAATCGGTCCTTCGAAAGGGAAAACCGGCGATGTCGCCCCTGTGTTTTGGCGGTTGATCGTTTCCACGAGCCTTCCAACGTTGCGGTCATCATGTCGTCATTTGAAAATGACTGTTGTGACTTCCGCTCAACCATTGGCACAGATTGCGTGACCTGGTCGTCCGGAACTGAGATGTCAGAATGAATAGAACCTCTGGATTGGGGTCCTTCGTCATTGGACAGCCACCCGCCGATGCTGTCGGCTCTAAATGAACGGCTGGGGGTTGCACGAGCTACAGACGTGGAAAGAAGTAGCGTCGGAAATGAATTGGAATGTGGAACCAGTCGACGAGGAGAACGAGCCCTATGCCTCGCAGAAGAACGCCGCCTAGTCTCCGGCATATGTGGATTCTCAGAAGATCGGAAGTATGGCCTCCAAGTCCCATTTGTCGAGGAATCCATCGGTTCCAGTAGCGATTGCTCCGGGGAGTAAAGGGGCGAAGATGGTGGCTCCAGTGGCACACAGCCCTCAGTCGACGACCGTTGCCTCATGATGGCCAGTCTCTGGTGGCTCGTTGCTGGTCTTCGTAGAAGAGGAGCCGGAGCTGTTGACGATTCAGAGGACCGCGTCATATAGGAGTGGTGAGCTGGCAGGCCGCGTTGGGAGGTTGAGCGTTTCACAAGTTTGTTGGGGCCTTGCTCCATACGGAAGGGAAAAGAGAAGAAAGGGCTGGCAGAACCATTGAACGATGGGGAGTCCGGCTGCGATCCTGACAGTGGGCTGTCGTTTTGGGATATGGATATTATCGAAAGACGCTGTAGCCAAGACGAAGAAGGTCGTCCAGCAGGTGAGGCCGTAGGCAGGTCAACGGGAGACTCGTCACCGGGGCCAGTTGATATGGGAGCCACGAACGTTCGACGGCGCGGACGGGTCACTGGGTCTTCTGCTGTTGGCATATCATCCACAGCCACGAGCTCGGGATGTGCAGCATCCAATCTGCCTCCCCGGGATTCATCCGTCCGCCTATCCCCCGGAAGGTGGTAGGATGTCGCCGGTCTACGCGCCACACCGGGCACTTGGGGGTGGACCGGAGAGTCAAGGGGAAACGATGTATCGAGGACACGGCCTGGAGATGAAGAATGGGAATGGCTGTTCCGGAATATGGAACGCCTTCTCTGCGAAGGTAAGCGTGGTCGTGCGCGGGGTGATTGCTGGGCCGCCTCGTTCCTGCCCAGGGCAAAGCCCGTGGCGGCGATTCCAACTGTGCCAATTGCACAGAGCTGGTTAAGATGCGGGAAACGGAGAGTCAGCGATGGTCTGCGCGGAGTCGTGATGTATATATTATTATGACCATGTCATATCATAGATATATATATATGTCATTGGGTGGGGAAGCG